TCACATGGCTTTTTCACTAATTGTGCATTCACGTCATTTTGTTCTGTGGGATCTTTTGCTTTTTGATCCAGTTTCAATTGCCCAGATGTTCATTTCATACAGTTAACTTTATACAAAGGGCATCTTTTGTTCCAACAAACACATTGTGGTCATTGTTCTCAGCTGGGAACCTAGTGCACAGCAGTTCACCTGTTTCCTATGTGATCCACCATCAATCTACTGACCTTTGTACTGATTTAATGTAAAATCATGCATTGGGGAGAGGAGGGATAAGGAGGAGAAATTATGCAAAAATGTTTCCTGGTCCCTAGCCTTGGATTGATTAAGGTCATGCTGCAGGTTAAAAAGGCAGTAAGAAATGGGAAGGCTTTTTCATCCTGACCCTTTTGGTGTGTAGTGGAATGGAAAATCACATTAGTACCTTGAAAGTTTTGCTGTGGTGTCTCAGAATGTATTAGTGGAGACCTAAACATCTTCTAGAAGGAAACCTATTGCCACTCCACTCCCTTCCCTGTTTCCATTTATCAAGGCTTCATGTCAAGGCAGAGAGGGTGCGTGCCAGTCCCCATCAGGGTAACTGTCACATAACGAGAGGCACCACTTCATGATGCACCCAGGGGCCTGAGGATTGTCCGACTCAACAGATTTCAGGAGGGACAGATCTCAAGGTTATTCTAACTGCAAATGTCCCATACAGGACAGCCCCTTTGCTGTTTGTTAAGCCACGTGCACATCGCATAGACTAACTTGTGTAGTTTAACTTAACCTTTAGGGCAGTCATGAGAGCTTAGTTCATGAGCAGAATAAATTCCATGGAAGGCTTTGAAAGAAGATTGGGTGTATAAATGCACTGGCTGTTGCTAAAAGATCTGTGGAAGATGAGCAGTGGAAAATTGGACAGGGATTGAGCAGTATATCATGTAAGAAGGGTGTAACTTGGCAATATATATCTGTGAAGCTCTTTAAATCTCTGTCTTGGCCAAAAGAGACCTTCCAAATGACAGGAATCTACCCATCTTGAGCCCAAACGTTCCTAGAAAGATGACCCTACAAAATTGTCCAGGCTACTGGCAAGGATAGCATTACTGGCAGCATGAAAAGTTTTTTAATGGCCAAGGCTGAGGCATAAGAGGAGCTACGCCCCACCGCCACAGCAGGTGAGAGGAGGAGGCCTAGAGAGGAGCTGGCATCAGGCAGTGATTTTTAACTTTTCTTTCATTCAGCCAGCTGTAAGACTGCTAGGCAAGATCTGCACAAGGCTGAATTTTGGTTTAGCATCCTGATGTGATGTGTACCCCTCGTAGCTCTCTGGTGCTTGGGCCAGGATATCCAGGACATCCACCATATTTTTCGTATTCAAACTCTGTGAAGGGGAACTGCAGGTGCCAGTGTCTGCTCTGTCTGCTCAGCTTGGCAAGAAAGAAAGCAAGGCAATGAGAAAGAGAAAAGCAGAGGTCCCGTCCAGTTCTCACTACCAACAGCAGATGGATAAATAGAAAGATACAGGTTTTTGTGTTCAGAACACAAAGTTTCCAGTGACTGGTCCTGCTGAAATCAGTGAGCAGAGACAGACACTACTTCATACTGCACGAACTGCAGCACCATAATTCCCCATTTCTCTCTCTTCCATCTATAGATCCCTTGGCACAGCTGTAAATTCCCTGTACAGTGCACAGTGTGGCTTTCACTGAAAATAGCTGGGAAAACAACATTTCTGGAGCCTTATTCCACTATTTCTTTTGCTTCTTCTATGCACCTCTGCATTTTTCCCTGGTCAACAAGGGCTGCATCCAAGCAGCCACCTGCATTCAGTATCATGGGGAATTATAAACATTATCATAAATATCACTCCCAGACGGTAATAGTTTGGTGGAAATGATGCCAAGAGACCAAACCCCTCTACCCTTCCCTCCAGCACCCTCCAACAGTATGACCTAGGAGGCCTCCTGTGCAGGATTTTTATCTTGATCTGTCCCAGTGACTGACAGCAGCAACAAGGAGCTCTCTGGGGCAGAGGACTGGAAGGGGAACAGTGTCTCCTGGGACAAGCTCCAGTCTGCTCCAGGGAATGTGCTAATTTTCACTCCTTTATAGTCCTTTATCTCAGCCCTTCGACCTTGAGCTCATAGGCATTATCAGCCTTAGCCAGAAAGGCAGTGTGCAGTTAACCATTTAAATGCTGAATGTTGCTGATACTAAGTCCTGAAGGTAAAAACACAATGAATGCAACTTATTTCAGGAGTACAGCAAGTCAGTGGACTTCACACGTTTGGTGAGGACTGATTTATGATATTAGGAAGAATATTTTGTAATGAATAGGTGATTTTGTGAGCTACAGCAGTTTTCAAAGTTTGTATGTGCCTACAAAGTTCCTAGGGCAGGTAGAGACCTCCTGTAAGAGTGTATCTTGAGTGTGTTGCTATACGGTGTATATGAACTTGGATTTCTTAGTCTCTTTTCCATCCTTACCTGGACCCAATTATTGGTATCCAGAGCACAGATAGAAAGTTATTGGTCTCATGCTTTCTGTGGGTTCCCTACTATCATGGTAACACTTAAATTTTCAATTTTGAAAAGTATTATATTCACTTTTACTTTAAAAAAAAAAAAATTTCCTGGAGCAATTGGGATTAGTGTATTGCCAGTTCTGCTACTGACTTTTCCAGGTGACTTTGGGCATGTTATTTAACCTGTGTGTCACTTTTCGTGTTTTCAGAATGAGCTTAGAATACTTCAGTGGGCTATCGTGACTGTTAATGAGTTTTGAATGTGTTTATGTACGTGTGTGTCTTGTTTGGCAAGATCAGCTTTGGTGCCTGACAGATATTATGCAAGAAAAATAATTCCTTTTCCTTATTGGGAGTGAGTGGTCTCTCCATGAGCAGCAGTAAGTGGGTAGAAGCAGAATTTTTTGCAGGATATTACTGCTTAATCCATTCAGTGTTCATGGAGTTAATTTGCTCATGCCTTCAGATTGTTTTGTTTCCAGGGATTCTAAACCTTTGCCTCCAGCTGTTCATTTCCATTGAAGGAGGGTGATCTTTATCTGTCTAAACTAGTTAAAACCTGCTCCACTACCCTGCAGCCTTTTTGGAGACAGCCCAATAAAGCTGAGTGCAGTGGCTATGACACCAAAGCCTCTTGGACATCATAAATTCCAAGCCCTACTTTTTTTCTGACCTCTCACTGTTAGAGCACCCCTCGTGTTTTAATGGGACTCTTCACATCCCTCACAGCTCTGTTTAACCCCTGTCCAAAAGTGGGAATGATACTTGTAAGTGGCCAGTGAAGAATCCCTTTTTTACTAATTTACTACTATAATATTATCAGATTAAGCCTTTACATAACCTCAAAGATACCATTTGAACAACTGAAGCACTGTTAGACTTGCACTTTGATTCTGCGCTGTGCATGTTGCTTGGGATGTTTTTGTTGAAGCATATTTTTTAAATGTGCTCCACATAAAGCTTGCTGTAACGTGGTGGGACTTGTAGTACCTTTGGGGTCAACAGGGCCACTTCCTTTTCAAGCATAAGATGTGAAATTTTTTGTCTTGAGCAGATGAGATGCAGGTTTGTTAAGCTGATGAGACAGCCACCAGATGTACAAAAGAATCTTTCCTATGATGAAATTCAAATGTCCTGTGTACATCAGGCAGAGATGCTGTCTATACAAGAGGGAATTGCAAACAACAACAAAAATTTCTGTTGTTGGTAATACTGCAACAGGGACCATAGCTAGAAAGTGTACACTAATGTAGAAACACCTTCCCTTGTTGCTGGGGTTTCTAATAGCATATTATTTTGTCCTGTGCTGAACAGGAGTATGTAACACAACAGGTAAATGCTATTGGTCACTTTGTACGTCAGGCTTTTCTACTACTACTACTACTATTAACAACAGTGGGAAAATTTGTGGCCAGAAGAACTCTCATGAAGACGCAGGCTGAGCTTTACTTTGGAATGTGCCAAGGAGACACTTTCCTGTTGTTTTGTTGCAGATGTTACTGTCCTTGCTGTCTGGGGAGTCAGTAAGGCCTGAAGAGTGTTGGGCGGTAGCGCCCCTGCTCTCTGCAGCAAACAGCTGGATCAGTTCAGATCCAAACCCATGTGGCTGTGTGAGAAGGCTGTGTAGTCACTTTTCTGCTAAACCACCTCACAGCAATTATCAGACTATCAGAGGAGGGAAAAGGTCTGAGGAAAAGACCAGTTTAACATGTCATTATTGGTCTTTAGCAGCTGTGTGTTATCCTATTGTTACTAATAACCTTTTTAACTTTTCAAGCAGTGTTTTCTTGGCATCCTTGAACATAATGACTGGGGGGTCAAATTCATCTCTCAGCTGTGTAAATATGGAATCATTCTCTTGGCTGTCTGGTGTTATTTTGCATTTGGCTCGTGGTCCCTGCCCCTAGAAGCCTGCAATCTAAAATACCCAGGCAGAGTATTCAGTCACAGTATGCCTTGCATACCCAGTTGGTATGCAAAGCATGAAATAAACAGATGAAGAACTACTATCAAATCCATGCAGTATAATTATGGCTTTATTGTCCTCTGGTTGAGGTTAATGGGTTATTCCTGTATAAATGAGACCACGAGTTTGCTTGTTACTTTTCATATATAATTCACCAGTAGGTTATGATTTTAAAGTCTTTTAGGAAAATGTATTTTAAATGGGGTTTTAAATGAAGAGAGAAAGAAATTTGATTGGGATGAATAGAGAACAAAATAGATGTTGCTTAATGTAAAGCAGTCAGAAAGTCTACCTTAATGGTAAGAAGGGAGGCCTTGACAAATCTATGAAGAGGATGTTGGAACTGCTGTTTTCCCTTCAACCCACCAATATACAAACTTGTATGACTCTTAAATAAGGTTCAGCAGTTTTATATGTTAAATAAATGTACCTTGATTTAATTCTCTGATAATAGGATTTCTCTTTTCTAGCATGATCTTTATAAAGTTCTCAGCAGCGAAGTGACTAATTGCACTTCTTATTTTCAGGAATCTTCCAGATAGTCCTGCTGTTGAATGGGACACACAGCTCCTCGCCGCCTTTGTGCTAAAGCATATAGAAGCCAATAACATCGACCTGGTAATGTGAAACTTTCTACAGCATAGGCAGTTTCCACATTACTTTTGAGCTAGTGTTTTAGGCTTTTTCCTTCCCTCTGAAAGCTTTATTTGAAGTCTTTAAAGTTAAGATTTTACTTCTGGAGTCTCTGAAATAGCCTAGGACAGGGAGACAGTATACGTACTTATTTTGAAATACTTGCTTTATAATGTTTATCCACTTCTCTAGCTAGATCTTACAAAGCCTCTTTTGGGTTGTAGTATCACTAACTTTCACTGATGTAAAAGGTAAAAATTGGTTAAAAACTGCAAACTCTCTTGGAACTAATAAGTTTCCCTGTAGTAGATCTTGGGGTTCATTAATTGCAGAAGACCCCCTGCATAAATGCAGCTGAATTTCAGGTCTCAAATGATACCTGAAAGCAATTTTGCATTTTGTAGTTTAAATTTTTTTTGTGAGTATTTGTACAGCTCCTGTATCTTGACAAGTAAGACATGGTCATTCTGATCCTCTTACAAACTCTTTAAACAACTGCTAGAAGCTCAGAACAAATAGAATTACTCCACTGAAAAATATGGAAAAGGATGATAGTGTAGTTTGGATGTATGTTTTCTCTATGGAGATCTTTCTTTGCTTCCCAGTGAAAAATGAACAGTGGAGAAATTTTGCTTTACTAACTGCTCAAATGTTTTCTACATTTTAAAGCAACCATTTTGTCCCTGCTGCTAAGTTTCATTGATGAAGAGAGCCTAATTCTGGGATTTAGGTTTACGTTTAGGTTTAGATTTGAAGTACATTGGCAGGCGTGTGTTAGAGAGCTAGATTAGCAGGGTTGTAGGTCAGGATTGAAGAATATTAAACTGGGGAGGTTTCCTAGCATTGGTGTAGTTTGGGTTTTTTTTCCCACAGAACAGGAATAAGGGCCTAAGCATGGAAAAGGCTGTGTTCTGTTCTTTTCTGTTGAACCTTGCTGTGATCAGGCATGCCACTGTCACACACTGATTAGCAGCAAAATCAAAACTCTTAATGCCTTTGAGCAATTCAGAAGACAAGAAATCACATCTCTTGTAGCATGAAAGCCCCACGAGCACAAAAAACATCCAACTTTGTATTGATTCTGCGGCTAATTTTCCATGAAATTCAATGCTGTGCACAGAGACAAATGCAGTTTTCCTGGACTCCTTTTGTGCCTTTTGGCCCCATGAATAGATAGGTTTTAATCTAATCTGAAAGCTCCTAACCCAAGAGGATTTGTATTGCATGTTTGTGACTCTCATGGGCCCTAGGACAAGCACATCAGAATCCCAGTAGAAATTCTGAAACCACTAGAACTCCTCTAAATAGTTAGAAAGGGTTAGATCTTTTCTTTAAAGAAAATTAAACTCAAGCTGTTTGTGCTGGAAGAGAAAGGAGTCTGCCACTAAAATAGCATAAACTGAAAAATAAAGTATGGGGTTTTCAAAGCGAGACGCGTGCTGCAGTTACGAGTACTCTCCCTGCTGTGCTGCGAGTGTCGGGTGTAGCTGCAGTAACAAGAAACACTGCGGCAGGGCCCACTGCGTTCCCCTCAGAACTTCCTGAGCAGCAGTGAGGACCAGTTACTGGAGCAGAACACATCAGCAGTACCAAAGTTGACCGGAGCAGCTTCTCGGGGACAGTGGTAATGAAGTCTCTATAAACTTACATTATTTTAAGTGTCCTAAGTAATCACACAGGTCTCAGATGTTTGCTATAAGGGCTTTCATTTAGGAGCAGACCTAGTTTGCCAACAACAGCAAGGCAAGCACCTAATTACCTTTGTCGAACATTCTGCATTTTAAAACTTCAGAGCTTGCTATCTGTTAGTCACTCTTGCAGCATCTTTGCTGTCCTAAGACAATGACCTTGCCTTGAAAGGTAAACAGAGTCTATTTTTGGGTAATGTTGTAATTGATAGATTTGGCTTAAGGTGTTAAAAGAGCCTTGTCAAAACATAAGCTAACAGGGTTTCAAACACAACAAGCTAACTCAATGGAATTAACATGTTTGGAAGACATGTATTGTTTTACCTATCCCAGTGGGAAAGCTTTCCCCAGTTCTCCCCACAGTCATAGCATAGACAATGGTAACTTTTATTTACAGAACATACGTGTCATCTGACAGTGGAGAAGCAGGCTGCAATTCCAACATGTCTGGAAGGAAAGATTGCCAGGCAAGGAGTCACACCATGTTATGCATAATTTTGTTCCATTGCATAGTTATTCATTTCCTCAATTGCCCTGGAAGGCCATGAGTAACTCAATCTTTTTGAGAGCTACAGGGACATATTTCATCTAAGCTCTACATTAAATAGTTGAGACACAAATTAACGGTTGGTGTACTCAAAGCCAAACTAATTTATAGACTTTGGAAATCATTTCCTGCCTGCTGGATTTACAAGCAAAAGCCAGTGTTGGGAGAGGCAGCCAAGGCTAGTCTGTTTCAAACCAGATTAGAAAGTATTTGGTGTGTAAAAAAATAAGTTACATAGTAATATGTGAGCCCCAGGCAGGCTCTAGAATATGAAATCCTACTCTTCAGGATCTCAGGTTTGGTGATAGCAGAGCTTGGATTAGGAGGTGACATTCAGTCTGTGTTTGGGGCAGATACAGTGCCAAGACCAGAATTCAGCAATACTACATTCTTACAAGGTGCTTTCCACTATGGATTGATGGAAACATCATCCATACAACTGTTTGTGGAAGAGTTCCATTGTCTTGGGTCAGCTCTAAATCAGCCTAGAAAGCCAGATCCTTCTACAAATGGCATTCAAGTTAGAGCTTATATTTGAGAGGCTGAGTTCAGCTCTCAGGTTTTGGATCTCAGTCTCTGAACTCCTAAAATTCAGGAACATGGGAATGTGTGATGTTTGTAGAGGATTTTAAATGCTTTTGCAGGACACCAGATACAGAGTGCAGCATGTGGAGTTTGCTAGAGGAGGCAACAGAGCTGGGACAGACTTTGGCATCCCTTTTCCTCCCTTCCTCACATATGTTGCAGTCTCCTCAGGTGTGCTTCAGGGTACACGCGTGAAAGGCCCCCAGGACCTTTCATTCTAAGAGCTGGTTTATGACTTACACACTTGCAGATCAAACCCAGTGGACACTGGGATGTTGATCATGATTAGATTTTTCCATTTTCATCCAGTTCTTTTTAATCTTTAACTTCTCTGATTTAGTAGCATTAAGAGACATCACCAAACATACAAGAGACTCAAAGGGAGTTTGAGTGTGACTGCCCTCTGCAAGTATAAGTCAGGCCTGTGAACTCATGCTCAGAGGAAGGCTACTATAAATGTAACTGCTTGCTATGGCATTTTATGGGATGGCCCTTCTTAAAAATGAAAGAGACCTTTCTATCCCCACCAGTCTACTTGAGCAGATGTGTGCTCTGAAGCACTGGATGACACCAGAAAGAATGAGGGAGACCCACAGCTTTGAGTGCTTTTTTCCTCTGATGCATATGGTGTGTAGAGGGAGCATGGACTCCAGACCTCTCAGGAGTTTTCTCTTCTAGTAATTGAGTAATTTCCTCTGTGCTCTCACCCCTCCGGAAGGGATTTCTGGACCTGTTTGTCTTGGCTGTTGCTCTGGCTTCCACTAGTGAAAGCTCCATTTCCTGAATACCAAGGTCACCCAGAAGAAAACCCAGCAACGCCACCAGCAGCAGCTCCCATTTCAGAACAGGTGTGGGGAGGGAACTCCCTCTTGCCCTAAAGATTTAATTGAGCAATAATTTCCACATCAAGTATATTTCCTATCCCAGCCTTTTGCTCCCAGAACTGGCTAAGCCTGTTTTTAAGCCAGACAGTTTCAAGATGTTCAAGTTTTCTCATCCTGCCCTGATTGTTTGCTTGATTTCATCATCAGCCTGGTTCAGGTTATGCATTAAAAGCAAGCACACCAGCTTGCTGCATCATGTGGAAGAAGCAAATGCTCCCATGTGAAAATATCTTAAGCATGTGAGAAAGAAATTCAGATTTGTTATCAATGAAATGAATTCCTGAAGCCAGAGGAATATATTTACATGTGATTGCTGTGTGCTTTAAGTCATGAGCACTACAGTGATGCAGTGGAATCAGTGCCCTCTTTAGACAACAGACCTAGAAGCTACACGCTGCATAGGTGGGACATCACTACTGGGTCAAGCCAGCCTGTGTGCTGGGAGGGATCTCTAAAGGTGAGGAGCTGATATTTCAAAGGTGGTCTCTTTGCAGATAAAGTGAATGGTACCATGTCCAGGTCAGTGTGCAGATACCTTGGGAACTGTACTTACAAATTTGTATATTTGAAGAGACAGGCAATTCAGGTGCAAATGTCCTAACAGTAAATTAGACAACATAAATTGAGAATTAACTCCATGCAATCTCTTTAGCTAGTTCAGATGTTATGTAAGCCCAGCAGCACTAAGAACAGCAGCTCCTGTTACAAAACAGATGTGGAGGAGAAAAACCTCTAAAGGTGTTTCTGAATAGATAATTTCCATGTCAAAAATATTTCCTACCTCAGCCTTGTGCTTCCACAGTTGGCCTGAGCCAGTTTTATCAAAACAACGATTAGCTTATTTAGTCTGCTCACTATAGTCTCTTATCTCTGTCTTCTGGTTTGTTCTCTTGTACCCTCCATAGAAGGAAAAATGTGTGTTTTGGCTTGCCTGGGGTTTTTAGTTTGGTTTCCCAAGGAAACAAGAATAATGCAGTTGTATTTATATGTGTGTGTACATTCATGTCTCAAAAGACTTTAAAGCCTATTGGCTAATTTCAGCCGCAGCTGACAGCAGGGTAGTAGTCTTAAAAATGTTGTGTTTGTACAGGTTACATGAAAATAAATGACCAGGCAAAAGAGACAAACCTTCTGTCTGTCCTCGTTTAGTAAAAAGGTTTAGTGCAAGTCCAGCCCTTAGACACTATTATTCACCTGCATAGGAATTTATTCTGCCTGCAGTGAGTGCGGTACATTGTCATTTTAGGAAAGTGCCACTTTAGGTCAGAGTGACTTCAGAGCATGATTTTTCTTATCTGTAAAATACAGGGTGCTATGCTTATTCCCTGAGCTGTACAGAATTTAATGTCTTTCCCAGCTGAGCTGCTCAAAAAGCTGATATCCTTAGGGAGGGCTTAGCACCATGCTAGACTATGCAGTCCCTGCAGAGAGCCTCTTGGGTAATGCTGATGTACATACAGCAAAAGCAGCCAAAGCTGAAGACAGAATCTTTCTCCTGCTGAAACAGGGGTTGACCAGAAAATGCTTCTTTATACCTGAAGGAAACCAAATTGGGTCCCACCACTTCCTGCTAGCAATGAATAACCCTGCTGCTTGGTGGCAGCATTATGACAGCCACTGGGCAAAGAGGAAAGTCTTAACTGTTGAGTTGCACTGGGCGGATAGGTTTATAAGCAGGCTTGTCTGGAGTTTGTGGTTTTTGAAGTATTTCTTATCACTGTCTTTCTGTTTCCTCTCCTTTTTACAATAACCCCTGTTTCATAGGGCCTCTCCTGTTGGAGGGTGGAGTAGCAAGTTGCAGGACTGGCAGGGTGGCTTTTGATCTTCCCTTGTTCTTTAACCCAGTACTTCAGGCCCTGCATATAAATTAGATTTTGAGAATGGACCTGTGGTGAGTAAGCAAGGCAGTAGCATTTCCTTCCCTGAAGAGAACAAGTTGGCAAGGAAGCAGGCATTGATTGAAATGTGGGGAAGTTATGATTTCTTCCTGGTTGTAGAGAAGGGAGCTGTGGAGAGCTCTGCTGCCTGGCCTCTCCCAGAGCAAAAACCTAACTTTAGACCGTCCAAGGACTGTCACCTTCACTATCTGGAAAGCCTACCAGCACACGTACCCTGTCTGCTCTACACTTTGCGCTGCCAGTTTGTCTTCTAGGATGGAAACAGGAGCCTTTAAGTACCTACTTCACAGTACTGTGCAGAGTGAGCCCTTAGGGTGGATGCTTCACCCCCACACATTATTGGTAGGTCTGAGGGCAGGGAGCCAAGGGTGTTCTGTGCTTCTGAAGGTGACTTGTTAGTGCTGTGTTCACACAATACTTCTGCATTATGAAGTTCCCATTTCTCCCTGCAGAGAAGCAATAAACAATGTAATCTTCTCATTTAGCAAACAGCCTGACTTGGTTGTACAAAAAGTGCCGTCACCTGATTCTTTAAAAAGGCTTATTCTTATATCAGGTTAATTTATCACTATGTTATCCTGTGATGAAGCTTCATTGCAATCAGGCAGTAGTATATGATTGTGTTGCTCTTGTGAAAGCAATATGTCCTGATTCACAGTACAGAGAACTATAGTTTCACCCTGTAATCTGCAGGCATTCTAGTATGTTCTCAAATCCAGGAGGGAGTGATTCATAGAGCTGGACCTCTTGGGTCAGGAAGAAGCTTGCAAGTGATTGCTCTGAAAGTAACCTTTTGGCCCGGTAATAAGTAACAAGTGCATCCTGCCAGCAGGAACATGATATTTGTCATCTTTCTGTTGTTCAAGCTGTTAGGCTGTGTAGTCATTTAGTTCTAGAGTGTCTTGTTTGTTTAGTTGTGCTTCTGTAGGATGAGTTCACACACACAGCCTCATTGTGCAACACAAAAACAACTCTTTAAATATAGTGGGCTGGGACAGTGCTGTGTTAGATGTCAAGGTTGGTAACACAACTCCTTCTTCAAAATTATTATTGTTCTGTGGTTTTGTTGCAGGTGGTAACCTTTGATGCGGGAGGAGTGAGTGGTCATGCTAACCACATTTCTCTTTACACTGCTGTAAGGTACAGTGTTCTACACATTTCATTGAATGCCTCACTATAGTGTTATAGAGTGAACGTGGTGCTTGTGTGTGAGCAGAAAACTCATAGCTAAAGGCAAAAGCAGTATTACCTTCACTGATATAACTGAGTGCCTGACTGTGGGACACAATACTGTTTGAAGAAACTCTCACAGCTCTGTAAATGGCCTACAGCATCCTTTATTATTCCGTTGCTGGCACTTTGCCAGTCTCCCTTTCACTGGGCCCTCTTTGCTCTTCCTGTCCTTGATCCCACTAAAATATGCCACAGATCATTTTGCAGTCCTGGTTTGAGGAGAGTCTGTGAATAGCTGATGCCTGAGCTGGTGGTAGTTGGATTTTGGAAAGTTCTTCACCATTGTTCCACAGGATGTTGCCATTCTGTTTAGGTAGCTGAATTTACCTCTTTGACCCAAGAATGTTGCCCTTTCACTGGACCTGTCCCTATTTACCACACTTCCGAAGTCAATTCATTCCTTTACCACTTTATTCTTTACATTCTGAAAACCTCTGTCTCTATGCTGTGATGTGGGAAGGTTGCTAGACAAAAATTGCATTTATTAAAATCACACAAATTTTGCTGACAAGACAGATACTGGTTTTTATTTTAACCCTCTGCTCATTCAGACCTCATTGTGTCCTAGAGAGATCTTCTCCAGAGCTCCCCCTGCCTTCCCCAGGCATGAGAAGAACTCTTTGCAAGTATATCTTGTATTTTTAGCACCCATTTGTTTCCTGAATCATCTGTGCAATTCAAATAACTGTCTGGCTTTCCTTGCTAACAACATCACTGTGATTTGCCTTTCTCACTTGCTTAGAGAAAGCCGCAGTGCCACAAAACCTGTGCTGTGACCTACTGAGCTCCTCTGGGAAGACGCTGAAAGTCTTTGATGATATCTGATTGCTGGAATTCAGTGTTAGAGGGAATCATGGCTTTTTCCAGCAACCTCTGAAATAGCCTAACAGAAGGAAAGGGGGTGGAGTTGAAGCAGTGTGTTTGTTTGGGCTAAGCAGGAAGATGCTTTCTGGCGTGGTGTTATTGGAGGGGTGAGGAACAGAGAGTGATGACCGATGGTCACACCATTGGCACAGAGGGACTAGAGAGCTTCCAGCTGCCTGGACCTCTGTTTGCTCAGTCAATTGCTTAATGGCCTGCAAATAGGAATGGAGGGCAGACTGGTAGGTGTCCCCCTACACCCTGAAGAGATACAGGGAAAACAATGTAGCAGCTGAATTATGTATAAGGAAGTTAAGGAAAACTCTCAGTTTTGATCCCAGCTCTACCACTGTCACACTTTGTGGCCGTGCAGAAACCACTTTCCCACCTTCATGCTTTAGGTTTCCTGTGTGTGCAGTGGGGATGTTAACCCTCTTCTCATCTCAGAGTATGTTACTGAGAAGTATTCATTACCTGCAAGCCCCTTGAGCTCAGACCTTCGCATTAGTCCTTAGCCTACACCAGAACATTGTTCTGGGCTGATGAGATATATACTGATAGGGACACCGGAGTGTAAGCAGCTCTCATTAAGGGCTGGTTTGTGTTTTGTCTCTCTTCCAGTCCTGAATCAGTAGAAATAAGCATGGTGGCTCAGTCATTGTGGCAGGAGTGATGTTGTGGCCACTGAAAGGTTAAGTTTATTTTTAGTGGCTTGCTTGCCCTCATTATTTTTCAGTTTGTGTTGTGGAGGAAGTAGAGCGTGACTGTATCACTCCTGATTTTCAGTGCCCTGATGAGTTCTCACATATTGGCTAGTACAGGCAGCGCTGGGAGCATATCCTGAGGCTTCTCACGTACCTCCCTGCAGCAGGGCTTCGCAAAGCAGCGGTTGCTGCCCCTTGGGCCCCAGTGCTACATGGCACGAAAAAGGCAAATGAACTCTCCCCTCCAGGTATCACGTGCAATGTATTCATTAACCATCTTTAAACAAGGTCTGCAGGGTTCTGCCTCCACTGTGGCTGTAAAGGGAAAGGGTGAAGCAGAGGGCTGGTGCAGTGATCCTCAGCTCTTCTGGATGCTTCTAGTCTGTGGGAGATAGACTTGTGCCTACTACCTAAGAGATTACTTTTTCCAAGAGCAGGTGTAGAACAGGCTGTCTGATCCATCTCACAACTCGCTACTTCAGAAGGTGCAAATTATCGAACAGCTTCAAGGAACAAAACAGTTCAGGAAATGGCCATAGCTGAGCAGATGCTCAGTATTATCTGCTAAGGGCATAAATATTCTTTCTAGTGTCTGGAACAGAGGTTATGTTCAAAGGAGTAGGAACTATTCAGAAGAAATGTGCCCTTCCCCTTGCAGCAACCTTCCTCTTGACAGCTTGCAGGGAGTCCAGCTGCTGCTATGTGTCTAGGCTTCAGATCTGGGAGGAACTGTGAAATGCCAAGGTTTGAGGGTGGATTCATTCTTCTGCAAGGGAAAAATAAGAAAAAACAGCATGGGAGAGGAACATAAATTGCTGTTTGATTTCATTCTCCCCTGGGAGGATTTCAGTTCTGGCTTCCAGACGGAAAAAAAAAAATAAAAAAAATCAAACAAACTCAAAACTGAGAAAATCCCACTGTAGCAAAGAAGGGAGAATTGGAAGCAATCCTATGTAGGTCTGCTTCTTTCTCCATCACCTTAATTTGGCAACATCATTTTCTCTTATCCCCAAAATAGGAGCTTTCTTTGTGGCCAAGAGAGGTTGGTTACTTTACACACAACCACAAGGAAGAGAAGGTCTTGAGTGACGTCAAGGTCATTTTACTCCCCTCTCAGCATTTGGCCAGTCACTAGGCACCACAGTAATAAGCTTGTTAAATACAACCTGACAGGAATATTTGACAACTTCTCTTTCCTGCACTTTGAAATGACAGTGCTTGCACTGAGAATACGTGTAATATCAAGGTGGTTTAGTTTTGCATGAGTCATTGTGCATTTTGATTTTAAACAAGCCCTCTTGCCCAAGAATCATAGCAGATGGGAGGGCTGTTGGTTTTGTTGTTTGCTTGCTTGCTTAGGGTGGAGAGGAATGGTCTTTGTGAGGGGGAGGAAGGACTGTACCACTTCTTTTCTTCAGTGAGCTATCAAATCAATTTAATCCCAACTAGAAGAGGAAAGAATACTCCTTGTCTGCTTAGGGCAGAGCAAACTGAGTGGAAAATAGGAGCTGCTATATTTAACCACTGTGCATTATGTTGTTATAGCAACTGCATCCATAAAACTTGTATCAATGATGCCATATAAAAAGCTACATCAAAGAATCATTAGCTGAGCCTATTCTCATCAATTCCATTTGGAAAAACACCTCACAGTCTTGCAGGATGTTTCTTAACATTCACCAACTCAGTGGTAGTTTGTAAATGAGACTGTGGAGCGGTAATATCTGGGAGCTTAGTGCTTTACCACTTTTGAGTTGATTATGATGCAGCTTGAGTGCTACCAATGCCTTGTTGCACTTACATGTCATAGCCTGACTATTGAATGCCCCATTTATGAATGCAATGGGACATAGCGTTGTGCAGAAGGGTTGCACTGAGGCTCCCTGAAAGAGGAGGATTGATTAAATGCCAGTTTCAAATAAGTATATCGAAACAGTGAACAGTGCATTGTTCAGACACATCCTGCAGACTCAGTGGGTACAGTTCTCAAAAGTCACCAACTGCATTACATTCCAACAAAGCACAGTTCTGCTTGTATTGAATTTTCAAGGCCAAGTCTTTAAGGACGTGTTGAGCAGGGAGGAATCAGTTTTTTGGATGATTAGCTTGATGATAGTAAATGGTATCCCATCTACCATTTTTATTTGATGCCTTCTTACAGTATGGGGCTAGAATGGGATTTTGATCTCCCACTCCTTTTCAGCAGCTGTAGCCCCTGCATTTCAAATGAGTGGCATCTGATTTATGTATTTAAAGCAGGGTGATGTTTTGTATTTCCCTTGCCTTTTCCTGGAAAATCCCTTTTTCAAAAGTGGTTATTATTTGTTCCACCTTGGAAAAAGATTTCCTGTGTCACTGATGTGTTTGTTTGGGAGTGTTTAGCCCCTGCTGGAGTCCTAGGTTCCCTGCAAAATGAAGAAGAGTGTTGAAGAAGTAACAGCTTCCAGTGTATGACGTTTCAGCCGGTCCTTCCACAGTCCAGCTCACTTCTGGTGTTTTGTTTTACTGATGTTAAATGTCCCAGGGGAAACATGAGTGGTGGCTGTGATTGCACCCAGGCTGCCACTGTAAGGTCATGACAGGACTGTGCTCCTCTATTTACCCTTTGAGACTGTCCCTGACCTTCAGAGGACTCTGCCCCATGCCTGGCATATATCCCGTAACTGGGTATGTTGTCCTAGATTTTATATCATTCCTTCACCCTTGCTCCCTTCTTCCTTCATTTGACTAAGTTCATTCATTCAAGTAGCCTTCCAGTATACTGTTGAGAGCTGTTAGGATAAAGTTGAGCACAGGGCACCAATATTGCAGGGATTCCCCCACAAATAAGGTTTTTTTTTTCCCAAAGAAACAGCCTCAAGGAATGTCTCAATGAATGTCCTTTCTCACATCACTAGGCTGCTAGCAGCATGAGTGGAACAGTGACATTTGCACATTCTTCTCCCAGACAGTGCAGGGACCAAAGCACAGAGCCACAGAGCAGCTCTGTCAACTGGAAGATCTCTGAATCAACACCGTTTTTTCTGACTGGTAGAACCATCTTTTGCCACTGCAATACATGTGAGTACAGAGTGCCTGAATAGTGTTTTACACACTGCATGCTGCTACATGGTGTAGCTCAGGGTGCATGGAAATGAAGCCAGAAAGTCTGGTTAGGGAGGGAGGAGGTGTTCCTGATAGCAAACATTCAACATCTGGCAAGTATATCCTTCTAATGTCTCTGGGATTCCTAGGAGACTGGCTGTTCTTCCTCCTTCACATCTGTTTCATCAGATTAATTGGGAAGATTAGAGACTAGGATCCTAAATGGAGCCCCAATGCAGCTTTAAGACATCCATTCTTTGCCATGCTCTTCAAAATTGTATTTCCCCAGTGCTTCACAGCAGCCAGCACAGTCAGTTCAGTGAAGGGTTTTGCCTTTGGCATGGGAAACTATTTAGAGAGTGAAACCATTGATTTCAATGAACAATTTCTCATCAAACAGAACATCACCAAAACTGTAATCCACCCACCAGGGCATCAGTTCTGCTTCTAGCCCAGGGGAGTTCTTTGTTCCTCAAGACCAAGGATTCAGCTCCATCTTGACTTGTTCCTTCTTGCAATCATGGAAAGATAGCAGTGGTCAGTGCCTCTTAGGAGCTAGCCCACTCACTTTGCTGACATCTTTCCTTAAGGATGACTGAATAAAGACAGGGAATTTGAGAGCTAGCTCAGTCCTCCAGTTTGCAGGTTGAGGGTTGGACCATTTCAGTTTTTCTGCTGAGCAGATGTAGCTTGTAGCAACAGACTGCAGTAGTTTTCAAAGCAGCTGGTCCTTGAGGAGCCAGTGCTGAGTCCTTGCAGTGCAGAAATGGTGGGTGCCTTCAGACCTTTCACAGCCTTTTGAAGTTCTTCATTGCAGAGGGTCTCACTGTCCATAAAATGTGGATCTGAACCTACCACAGACATAATAAAGAGGGTTCAGTGGAGGTGTGCTGTAATCAGCTGGTCTCTGGCACTTAGTGGGTGGGAACAAACCACCTTAGACCACTTCATGTTTAAAAAGAATTTATAAAAAGTCTCTCTGGAAAAAAACACATGGAAAAAGCTCCTGAAAAAGAGCCTGTTTGTGTTTGACTTCTTGAGATTTTATGCCAAACTCTTTCATTTCACCCAAACCACAGCAAGTCTAATCTATAAAACAACATTCCCAAAATGGCAACAACAGAGAGCTGCAACCTCTCCCCTACTTGGAAGTGTCCCACGGAGACAGCTCCAGCAGGGTGGAGAAGGGAGCAAGAAGATTGATTTGGAAGAGTATTGGCTGGTTTTATGAACGTGTGCAGGAGGTAGAGTTTTGTGTTTCTTTCTCTCTCTCTCTGCAACCACAGCTCATTGCCATTTCTTGCCTGAGAAATACAAATGAGCAAGGCTGCAATTCCTCTTCAGCATTACAGTTGGGTGGAGCCCATTCCCATAGCTCTGCACTGAGCCTTGCTGAGTACTGAAGTATTTGGCTCAGGACGAAAAGGATGAGGAGAGAATCAGTTTCTTCATGCCTGTTCTTCCAGATCAGTGTCAGGTCTGCCTGGAAGCAGCCTTAGGATGTTTCAGTAACCAAAATACAGTTTGTGTCTCCCTGAACCTTTATACAAATACAAACTCCATAATTTACTGTTGAATCAAACTTTCCTTCTCTGCTGAAGATGCTCTCTGCTTCTGCTGAAACGTTTCCGTATGAACTGGATCTCCCCTTGCTTCTGTTTCTCATGGCCAGGAATGGTTATTAATAGTTCACTTTCAGAGCAGCTCTTCACAT